TTTTCGTGTGAAAATTCTCGATTTTATTATTTATATTATATTTAACTTTATAATGCTATAACTTATTGAAAAGTTTATGGATCCACACAATTTTTTTATGAGAAATAATATTTTTTAATAAACCCTTTTTCATTCGACATACTTTATCTTAATCGAGATATTAATAAGGAACCAGCAGATCAAGTAGCTTTTGGAATAAAACACCAAATTTTTTTAAAATTAAACACTATCTAAAGATTTGCATCGAAGCGTTTCTTATGATAGTGATTTTAATCACTGTCAGATATCATTATACTTGATCCAACTATACCACGTCACAACTGTGCCGCGACCCCCCTGTGCTGGGTTTTTTTGTATTGAAACCTTAGATATTTCCCTTTCACTTGATATAATTTTTTTTGAAAATCTAACACTTAACCTGCTCATTGGGGGAGATTTAAAATAGCAACTTTTTTACAAAAACTAACTTTTTCAACTTAATTTTTGAAAATGTTCCGGAAATACTGCGTCCTTTAAACATATATCAAATTAAAGCTTATTTTATGTACTACAAAATGAAAAAAAAAATTTGTCCCGACACTTTATCTTCTATGCGCAAATGGCTACCGTATAAATAAATATGCTATTTTAATAAATTTTTTTTTTTTAAATTAAACACTATCTACAGATTTGCATCGAAGCGTTTTTTATGATAGTGATTTTAATCACTGTCAGATATCATCTATACGGACCCAACTATGCCACGACCCCACTGTGCTGGGTTTTGTTTTTTTAAAAGTTGAATTAAAATATGTATAATGACATACTAATAGTCCTCATTGATTGGAATTGAGCTTTTTTTTTTACAGCCTCGCAAAAGTTCAAAAATATGAGCTTTTTTAATTTTCTGAAAAAATATTTAACTTACAAAAAAAAGTTTCATAGAAAAGTTGTTTAAAAGACAATTATAAACAAAAAAAATTATCATATATTTTTTCATTTAAACAAATATTTTTCGAGTTACATTACATTTAATATGAGTACTAAATATTGTATTCCATTTTTTTCATTTTACGGTTACTTTTTATCATGTTATACTTACATTAGACACAATGTTATAAATGAATATGTGTGTGTTTATTTATTTATTGTATCATTAAAGTGTAGTGTAGTGTAGTATATTAATATACAAGCGATAGAGTAGGTAATTGATTTGACGCTATATTGTTTAAACCCAACTAAACACTAAATTGTACATTCCCAAACAATCATATTATGTCAATTGCCACCGTAATTTCTGGTAATCTTTTTCTTTGCCTTAATCCCAATTACTTGGGGTCGACCACCCTTATCCTAAGCTTTCACTTGACACGATCTTCCACATCTTCTATGCTCACATCAGCTGTCCTCAAATCGCTTTCAATAGCATCCCTCCATCTCTTTTTTGGTCTTCCTCTATCTCTTCTTCCTTCCACATTCATTTCTATAACTATTCTTTGAGATTCCGATTCCTC